GTCATATGTTAATAGTACCTAAAATGTAAGGTTTATTATAAATTAAAGGATTCGGCTGCAGTGAAAGAACTTTTTAAAAAAAATTTTACCCTCACAGTAGAAATTTCTCCTGACGTGGACTGTTTACATACCTAACAGCAGATTTGACTGGTGATGTTTCAGTCATGTCCAGAACAGCAGAAAGGATTACTTGAAGTAGAAGAAAATTTAAAAAAATACATATAAAATAATAAATATATAAATTGGCTGCAGCTAAAGCACCAAGGGCAAAAGACAACGATTGTTATAAGTGTTATGTTATTTGTCAGTCATATATGTTAATAGCGTCCCGCGTTATTCGAATCCAAACGAACATTCCAATTGAAACGAATCAGCATGATGAATAATCGGTTCGCATAAAATAGCCTTATACAATTTGTGGGTAAATTCAAATGCATCGGTATTTTAATGACTACATTAATAAAATAGATTTTTTTTATAGGATAAGGGTGACAAACGAGCACACAGTCCACCTGATGGTAAGTGGTTGCTGCGGCCCATAGACATCTACATCTATCCTCGATTACAAATCAAAATACAGATGCGTTGTCACCCGTGAGGACTAAGATGGAATGCCTCATTTCCAGTAAAAAGGGCCTCCGGCCACCTGCACTCACCAAGTGAAACGCAGAGGTAAACCTCTACTTCACGCTGGTTTTCTGTGAGGTCGTGGTACCACCCCGGTTCGAGCCGGCCCATCCGTGCGACAGCAAAAGCTGCCGCGTGGCTCTACCACTGTTAAATAGATAGATGTTAGATAGATAAATCATAAATCATTTATTTGTTTCTTCAGTCACACACGTAGACTCAGTTACGAAAGCAGGTACGAAGTAACGTATTACAAAAAAAGTTACATAATCTTAAGATCTAAATGTGCATGTGTGTTGCAGTTTAAGAAATGGGTTCTAGTTCAGCGATTAATATTTCTCAGAGAGCAAACACTGATTTTCAGCTATTACCCTCGAGATGACGAAACGAAAATGAGCACAATAGTCTAATCAGTGTAAATATGTATGAATTACAGACAGAGCAAATATAATTAGTGTAATATTTGCTCTGCTTGTACTTATACTGAACATTGTTTTATTTATACTATACCGGCTGATGAAGAAAATTTGAAAGTGCTTGCGGGGGGAGGAGGCTGGCTTAGCATCGGGCGGCAGATTCTAGGGTGCGGCCTTTAGAGAGAGAAAGTCAATTCCCAATTTAACTTTTAAATGATTCTAGTAGTATTTTTGATTAAAATTTATTAAGTAAAATATAATGAGAACACTATCTGAAAATGGATATAATATACACATACCTGCCAATAATTGGGTTAAGAATATGTATAATAAATACATTATATTTTTTTATTCAGTTTTTAAATAATATACAAAAACTAGCAAACCCACGCTGGCTTCGCACGGGCTTTTCTGAATTTCGACATCATCGCCACCTATCGAGTCCAATTCTGCATCTAAAACATTATCTAATCAACTTGATCAAACGCACCAAATTTCATCAAAATCGGTCCAGACGTTTACGAGGAGAGCTGAGAATGTTTCACGACAGTAATCGAATTTCGGATTCATTCAGACCTTATAGTTTCGCAATCTTCAGTAACTTTCAGAAAAGTTCCGTTTAGTAGTTTTACTAAATTGAATCCAAGGCCCAAGTTTTGGTGCTGAGGGGACGCATTCATACATATCTTCATTGATTATTCTATTGTGCTCCTTTTGGTATTACCATCTCGAGGGCAATAGCTGAAAATCAGTGTTTGCTCCCTGATCAATATTAATTGCTAAGCTAGGACACATCATATTTTGTTACTGCAACATATGTACTTTTAGATCTTACTGTTATGTTTTTTTTAATAATTTAGTAACTACTTTTAAACTTGGTAGAGCCATGTTTCAGCTATATCATAGCTGTAGCACGAATTGGTCGGCTCGACGGCCACACTCTCACAGAATACCAGCGTAAAATAGCAGCTCAATGCTGCTGTGTTTCGTATGATGAGTGTAGAGAACCGGAGACCCTTTTGTACTGGATACGAGGCATTCCATCTTTGTCCTCACGGTTGACAACACATCTGCGATTTGATTCTTAAACGAGGATGTAGATGTCTATGGGCCACAGCGTCCACTTACCATCAGATAGGTTGTGTGCTCACTTGTCACCCTTATACTATAAAACAAAACTAGTTTTGTCTAGAAATGTACGTGTGTGATTGGAAAAACAAAAACATGCTTTATCTATTTATCTAAGTATATATCTATAAATATGTAGGAAACTTATGATTGGGCTAAATACTTAACTAAAATCTTTTTTTTTTTTACTTTCCTACATAGAAATCTTACCTGGATCAAGTGAATAAACTTTTGTTACACACGGAAAGTGTAACAATGTCAATCTCTTAACACCCTTTTGTCAATTATTATAGTGCGTCAGTTATTATGCCTATGATTATAGCGCTTATAACCCTACTTATATTGCTTGTACGTACGTACATTTTCATAACGGCCGTTAAATATTTACTTGTAAATGTTACCACGTATAACCTGTCGCAAAAATCTGTGAACCTGGCTTGATGACGTCATGCAATATGGAGAGATGGCAACGGTACTGGATAGACGATAACGGGCGGAAATATCTGCGAACCTGGCTTGATGACGTCATGCAATATGGAGAGATGGCAACGGTACTGGATAGACGATAACGGGCGGAGGTGCGGGGAAGCGCGAGGGGAAGCGCATTCCAGCGAGGTTCGCAGATATTTCCGACAGGTTAGATAATGAGTTCATCCGTATTTTAAAAATCTACTAAGTAATTAGATTTGTTTATCTGAGAGTCTGTTTTACGTAAAAAGTGTTACGGAAAATATGCGAATTAAAATGTAAGGTTTATTATAAATTAAAGAAAGTGGCTGCAGCTAAAGGACTTCTTTAAAAAAAAAGACGTTACCCTCACAGTAGAAACTTCTCCTGTCATGGAGACTGTTTACATACCCAACAATAAATTTGACTAGTGATGTTTCATTCTCGTCAAGAACAGGAAAAAGGGTTACTTGAAGTAGAAGAAAATAAAAAAGACATATTAAAAGTTACAGCCTATATACGTCCCACTGCTGGGCACAGGCCTCCGCGCATTTCTGAGAGGGTTTTAGGGCAAGGAAGTGTCCGCCGCGCTGCCCTAATGCGTGTTGGCGAACTTCACATGTCTTCGAAATATTTTTTTTCTTATTTTTCAGACATGCAGGTTTCCTTATGATGTTTTCTTTCACCACCGAGCACGTGTTAGATCAGCACTTAACAATTTCATTGCGTTTCATCACGGCGGGGATCGAACGGTTTGCTAGCGACAGCGAGCGCTAACCATCTGAGCTACCACGGCTCCAAAAAAAAGACATATTACATAATAATAAATATAGGAAAATGCATTAGTTAATTAAAACCATAAATTATATAGGTAAATGTTTGTAAAATTATATTTAGTTGAGGTGGAAAAGATGATAAACAGTTATAGACTGAAATAGAATGCATAAATTCAGTTTATCACTTGAAAACCAAATTATATCAAATAAATATGCATCGACTCTAGATGAGATAAAGTTATATTCTGCCGCTTTGTTATATGTATGTGCACTGCACTATATGAAATCTTTTAATTTCGTCATAAGTATTCTGGTTTAACGTCAATCATTTTATTTTAAACGGTGATAATACGAAATGTATTAAATCTACAACAGCAAATGTGAAACAAATGAATACCAGTGTGATTTTAAATAGGAAAGAGCTGATCCTTTTTTTTGAATCCACTGTCTTTTCTCGGTGTTACAGTTGACGCAAAGCTTCAATGGGGCCCTCACATATCTAAACTAGCAAACAAACAAAAAGATTAAGAGGCCTTGCATGTGTTGATACAGCTAGATTAGTTCAGTTTAGTTATTTCCATAACATAATATCATATGAAATCTTGCTATGGCGTATGCGACAGACATTAAAACTATGTTTGTTTTGCAGACCTTAAGAGCAATTTATAACCTAGGTCCGAAGGAATCCCTTATAGAAAAATTTAAATAAATAAATATATTTACTTTGGCCTTTTCTTTCTTTGAGCTCCTGTGGTACCCAAATATCGAGCTTTTTTATAAAGTCTGAGTATACGACTTTATAAAATGGGTCAAAACTCTTTTGTGGCCAATCCTCAATTCCTCAGCTATGTCGTAACTACTAACGTGCCGATCTTGCTCCACTTTTTCGAAAATGGCATCGCCTTTATCCGTATGGGGGCGACCAGAGCGAGCTGCATCTTTGACATCAAAATTGCCGGTCTGAAAACGCTTAAACCAACTTTGAGATACTCTTACAGACACTGCATTAAGTCCATAAACGTGTTTTTTACTTTTCTTTTTCTTAATATCTTATATGTACTGATATTGAAACCAGCCAGATACAAACAGTACGACCAAAGAGATTTTTCTTCAATTTTATACAAACAAAATACGAAGAAACTTTTTCCCCGACCTGTTCTACTAATGAGTACATGATTGATAATAACCCCTGGACATGAGGCGATCGCTACCATGCTGTTTTCTAGATGTTTTCATACTAATTGTATAAAATATTATATTATAAATAAACTTCTTTTTTTTAAAGTCTCGCTGGGTTTCATGGTGGTTTTTGGTTCTTCCCAGGACAGAAGTTTTTTCCGAACTAATGGTAAAGCTTAAGTGACTTTTAATAAGAATTCTTGTAATCTGTATCTATTGAATAAAATTTATTCTATTCTATTCTATTCTTCCGTGAGCATGCCTGCGTGTGTGTTAGTGTGTTAGTGTGGTTACTTATTGTTTACTTATTTGTTATTTTTATGTTTATGGTTATTTGATGATATTTGGGTGGTAATTAACAAAAACAATTTACATTATATTAAATTTTAATTTTGAAACCATAAAATCAATGTTTATTTTTGTCTAGTATCTTCTGAAGAACACAAGGTTAAGTGACGTGAACAAGCGGCTGAAGGCACAGATCTGGAGTTCCGTGGTGACAATAGTCCTTGTGGAGGCTAAGAATCTTCAAGCAATGGATGTAGAAACAAGATCCAGTGACCCATATTGCAAATTCAGGTAAGCTGATTCGTCAATCGTTATGATTTGACCCTGATAGCTTTAGGTTTTCTAATGATAAATTAAAATAAAGATAATGATTTCTTATATTTACGCGAACACTACACATTGAATACAACTATTTTTACGGATTTTATCGCGTTTAATTTTACTATTTTAATAGTCCTCCCGTGACCATGGGTTGCTGTAAAGCACCCGAAACGTCGGCAATTAAAATAGTAAAATTAAACGCGATAAAATCCGTAAAAATAGTTTTATTCAATAAAATAAAGATTCCTTCTTGATGATAATGTTCTGAAGTGACAAAGGAACTTATAGTCTACTGATGGTTTTTTTATAGGATACGGTGACAAATGAGCATACTGTCCACCTGATGGTAAGTGGTTGCTGTAGGCGTCGTCACCCGTGAGGACTAAGATGGAATGCCTCAGTTCCAATATAAAGGGTGTCCGGTTCTCTACACTCATCATACGAAACACAGCAGCGTTAAGCTGCTATTTTACGCTGGTATTCTGTGAGAGCGTGGTCCTTCCCCGGTCGAGCCGACCCATTCGTGCTACAACTATACCACTAATATAGCTGCAGCATGGCTCACCACGTAAAATGTGGCTACTGCAGCATTTGACACCTGCAGCCAACAAACAAAGAAGGTTACAGATACGTGGTCTCGTTTGAGAACAAAAATGTAATACCACACAACCTTTCATTATACTAACACACTTTACCTTACCGTGTAGTGGCGGTGTAAGAATATCCACCACCCCATACCATCCCGTGGGTGTCGTAAGAGGCGACAGAGGGAAACAAATCAGAAGATGGGCAGGAATGTCTTCCTAATAACGACTAAAATAAAAAACTGCGGTTGCCAACCCGCTCGCCAAGTGTGGCAAATCTGGCAAATATCCCCTCTATAAGGTAATCTATGAGGGAAGCCTATGTGCAGCAATGGACGTTAATACTCTGTAACGGTAACGGTTACTACCGAAACACAGCAGTGCAAGCAATGCTATTTCACAGCAGAAATAAGTAAGTGGAAATTGACGGCTCCGTGGCGTAGTGGCTTAGCAATGAGCTGCAGCGGTAAGGGCCGCGGGTTCGAATCCCGCACGGAACACGTGGTCCTTCCCCGGTCGAGCCGACCCATTCGTGCTACAATACTACTCATATAGCTTTAGCATGGCTCTAATCAAAATAAAGTTTAATTTAATGAGAAGAATAAAGTTAGTGTTATAATATGTGTAATGAAAATGACATCCGTTTCACAGTAGACCACCACTCTAAATTCTTTCTAGAAATCCACACTGAAGTGAATAATCGTGAGCAACTCCTAAAATCTTACGGCTATTGTAAACACTATTCACTCAACGGAGTATCACAGACTTTGACCATTTTTAAACATTATACCTAATTTAAAACTCAATCCAGCAGCTTAATGAGACCGCCACCAAGGGACACTTACTTGTACCTCAATCGACCTCAATATGACTGTTTATTTCCAGGTTAGGTAATGAAAAATATAAAAGTAAAGTTGTGTGGAAAACGTTACATCCATCATGGTTGGAGCAGTTCGACTTTCACCTCTACGACGATCAAGAACAAGTACTTGAAGTCACTGTGTGGGACAAGGACAAACAAACTAAAGACGATTTTTTAGGGAGGTAGGTATGTTTCATTTTGTTATGGAAATAATAGTTTTCCTAGCGTAAATAGTGAAATTTTAAGACCTAAAGGTCGTTATAAAGACATAATAAATAAATATTTGACTAATTTTTTCACTAATCGGGTAATCGGTCGAATAATTTCATTATATTTATTACGAGGCTATTTTAATTTTGTTTTCTTAATAAAATATATACTCGGTTTTGTCGGCTACAATCAGGTACCTACTACGATTAATTAATCTTTGGAGTATTCTATTTATTCATGGCTAAAAGTAGATGTAGCCAGTTGTTTCCAGTTAAAATAGTTTTTAGGAGAAACAAGGGCAAATTGAAAGATAATTTTTATAAAAAAAAATGTTATTATTAATGTTTCAGGTGTACAATAGATTTAACAAAATTAGAACGGGAAAAAACGCATAGCATTTGGCAGGACTTAGAAGATGGCAATGGACAGATATTTCTTTTGCTAACAATCAGTGGCACCACGCAATCAGAAACAATTACCGACTTGGCAAGCTATAGGGAGAACCCTAGAGATATAGAAATAATCGAAAGAAGATACGTAAGTAAAAGGCGTATTTTAATAACTTCATGTATTGACGAAAATTTTATACATAGATATGTCGCAGTTTTATGGTAAAATCAGGTTTTATATAACATAAAATAGTAATTTTGTCTTCTTCCAGTTTTTGACCAAAAGCCTAGATTTTTGTTCAAAAACCAGATTTTGTCACAAACCTGCAACAGATATATATATATACATATCTGATTTAGTTATTTTTATGTTGATCAGAACTAAAATCATAACTATTATATTACAAAATTAAGTTATGATGTCTTTAGTTATAGTAATATCTTCATTAGGCATTATTTGTAGTTTTTAAATGTCTTACGGTGCGTACACATTATATAACATAACATGTTATAAACATGTTTCAGTAATGTGGATGCTGAATGTTATAAAACGTGTTATATAATGTGACATAAATGTTATATAACTCGAACGGCATACATATATATATATATATATATATATATATATATATATATATATATATATATATATATATGTATATGTATGTATGGTATTTGTATTTTTTATTTTTATGTTTATATGCTATAATTCCTAAATTCATTATATTTCTTATTCTGTACCGTTATGTATTATAATAACCGCCTTCGATGTTTTTCCACTCCTCAAGGTTGACAGGCAGAGAATGCTTTAAGCATTATGTCCGCCTTTTGTACTTATATATTTTATAAGGTTCAAAAAAGTTAAATAAATAAATAAATAAATAAATAAACGGCAGAACGACAAACGACAATGGCATATAACATTGTTATATTGCATTGTTATTCTAATGTGTACAGTATTGTTATATGTTGCAATGTTGAAAAACATACACACTATATATACAATGTTACATAATGTGGACGTGTTATAAAACAAAAGTTACCCAACATGTTACTTAATCTGTACGCACCCTAAGACAACATAAAGAGAAGACTGCTCATTTACTGAAGGCGCTACCTTCTAAATTGCGACTCACATAGTTTTCTAGTCCAGTCTACCTATCTAAAAACGCACAGATAGGGAACCGAGCAACGCAATAGTATACAGATAAATCGTACCGTGTGAGTCGTAAGAGGCGACAGAGGGAAACTAAAATAGAAGATGAGCAGGAGCAATTTCCTGCTAACAACTCGAAATAATAAAAAACCACTCGGCAAGCGTTTCAACTATGAGAAAATCTTCCGGGTTAGGCAATCTATGGGAGAATCCTAAGTTCAGCAAGTGGACTTTTATAGGCTGTAATGGATGGATGTAAAGAGGATAATCTACCAGGAGCACATGACCCACTGAGAGGTGAAATTATTAGATTAACAGTAACATTACAACTATAGCAAACCCCCTATGAGGCAGTGTTTAAGCGTGGACCTTGATAGGCTGTAATGGATGGATGTAAAGAGGATAATCTACCAGGAGCACATGACCCACTGAGAGGTGAAATTATTAGATTAACAGTATCATTACAACTATAGCAAACCCCCTATGAGGCAGTGTTTAAGCGTGGACCTTGATAGGCTGTAATGGATGGATGTAAAGAGGATAATCTACCAGGAGCACATGACCCACTGAGAGGTGAAATTATTATGAAGTTAAGTATAATCCGAATGAGGGTATCCGCAATTATTGACATAATTATTTGATCATTAAGTTAAATAACACCATCTAGCTCATAGCACCTATGGGGTAGAAAGGGTTTTTTAATGTCAGACTCACAATGGCAAGGGAATATCGACATGATGAAGTATACAGGGTAGTTGATTGAAGTAGGTGACTCAGTACCATGCTTTGTTGTAGTCAGTTTCGCCGCTTCTTTAATTATGATTAATTTCATACCCTTTTCTACCGACTTCAGAAAGGAGACGATACTCAATTTGACTGTATGTTTTTTTATGTGTGTTACCTCATAACTTTTTACTCGGTGAACCGATTTCGATGATTTTTTATTTGAAAGCTGATGCTTCACCTATGGTCCCATAGAAATTGGATCAAGTTCTGACCAATAGTTTTTGAGTTATTCTTAATAATTTATATTGAAGTCGGTTGTACAATTATTACGAGAAATGTATAATCAGCTTTTAAATGTTTAATATCCGTGAAATTTTTAGCACATGATATTTTCCAGGCGTGGTATCGACTTAACGAGTACTCTAGCGGTGTCGGCTGGCTGTGTGTTAAAGTGTATGGTGCTAAAGGTCTAGTTGCGGCGGACTTGGGCGGAAAATCGGATCCGTTTTGTGTATTGGAACTGGGTAACGCACGATTACAGACGCATACGGAATATAAGACTCTGACGCCGAATTGGATGAAGATATTCACATTGTTAGTAACTTATTTCGTTGGTTTATTGTTTGTTAATTCCCGCATCCGTCGATCCCGAAGTCCTAGGTTTGAATCTAAAGGTATAAGGCTTTTTCTCAAACATTTTTAATTAAACAAAGTAGGTAATTATTGTTAAATGAATATATTAAAAATATGTAAAATGTTATTAAATACAAATTACAGGTAATCGCCTCCTAAGATAACCACTTAATAAAATATGGTGACGGATTTTCGGACGCAACCATCACACGGCTTTACTTCTTTTACTGTATTTTGAATTTTTAAAATTCATTTGACATTTATTTTATTATTAGATGAACATTTTTATTAGTACTATTAGGACATATTTATATTAGTAAACTAAAATTCATCAATAACTATTGTAAAGAAAATGTATTGCAACTTATTACTATTCAGTCAAAATTTGCACGCCTTGATAAGGCAGAATGTATCGGAACTTTTATGTTTTAATAATACTTTTGTAATATCTACCTACATTCTATGCAAATAAATAATTATGATGATTATGCTAAATTTTTGGGCCTAAACAAAAAGTGTCTAATTATTAACAGTGTTTTTTTATACGTGGTAGAGCCATGCTACAGCTATATTAATTATATAGTCGTAACACGAATGGGTCTGCTCGATCGGGTAAGACCAAGCTCTCATAGAATACCAGCGTAAAATAGCAGTTTAAAGCTGCTGTGTTTCGTATGGTGAGTGTAGACAATCGGAGACCCTTTTTACTGGAAAAGAGGGATTCCATTCCATCTTAGTCCTCACGGCTGACAACATCTGCATTCCGATTCGCAAACGAGGATAAATGTAGATGTCTATCGGCCACATCAACAACTTACCATCAGGTGGGCTGTGTGCTCGTTTGTTACCCTTATGCTATAAAAAAAGTTTTAATTTATAAATAATGAAGAGACCCAATATAGTATGCGCATTGCTCTACTCGTAATATATAACATTTTCATGGCCTTCAGTAAGTATAACCGTGTAGTGTCGATGTAAGAATATCCACTACCCCATATCATCCCGTGGGTGTCGTAAGAGGCGACAAAGAAAACAAATCAGGAAAAGGGCAGCAGCGTATTCCTAATAACGACTAAAATAAAACCTGCGGGTGCCAACCCGTTTGCCAAGCCTGGCAACTATGACAAATATCTCTCCTATAAAGCAATTTATGGGGGAGCCCTAAGTTCAACAGTGGACTTTAATAGACTGTAACGGAGTAAATATTTATTGTAATCATTAAATAACTTTGTTCTGGCTGAGACTTAAAAACACGTAGACGTATCATAATTTATTGCTTACAAACCCTTATAAATATATTTTACCCGTTGATCTCTCTATCTGATATCTCTAAATCTCATTTCTTCCTTTAGGTGTCATAACATTTCTATGGGAAATGTCGAAATGAGCTCCAACCCCCAATATTTTTATTTGACGGCTCCGTGGCGCAGTGGCTTAGCAATCAGTTGTTGCGCTGGGGGCCGCGGGTTCGAATCCCGCACGGAACAAGTATTTGTATGGCCTACAAATAATTGTTCCGGGTCTGGATGTTTGTCCTTGTGCAATTTATGTTTGTAAACTGCCTCCACGACACAGGAGAAAATCCTAGTGTGGGGGTAAAAAAAAAAGAAAGAAAAGAATATATTACGGTATTACAATCTCGTATGTAAATTGTTTATATGATCGGTATACGCTCGCATATACATCTGTGACCGATGTTATATTATTATAAGTATGCAGGTAGAATAAGAAAGAATAAAGCGTGCAGTTCACAATCGAGCCGCTGTCTTATTCGCATGCATCACCTGTTATTTAATAACTGGCATAGATATATCGACGAGTTTTTTATCCACCGATAGATTATTAACGGTAATTTTCTTAAAGTAATGCGAGAGCTAAACTTGGACTAAAATCCTTTGTACCTTACTATAATAATTGTAGTCACAACGATTTCAGTACAGTGAAAGACATCACATCAATACTGGAAGTGACAGTTTACGATGAGGACCATGATCATAAAGTAGAGTTCCTAGGTAAGCTTGCAGTGCCCTTACTAAACATACGGAACGGGGAGAAGCGCTGGTTTGCGCTTAAGGATAAGAAGATGAGGGCGAGAGCTAAGGGAAACTATCCGCAAATATTGCTGGAGATGATGGTTATATGGAATCCGGTAAGTGGAGTAGTTCTAAGTGATATAATATATCCTACTTAAAATTTTCAACCATCCACAACTTTCCAGAGCCTATCAATTAAAAATAAGCTAAAATTATGACATTAGGTATACCTTAAATATATTGAACATTGTTCATATTGAACACACAAATATTAAAGTAAATATATATTTCTAGGTAATAGTTTTATGTAACATAAACGATAATATTGTATAGTTATAGTCCTTCGCAAGTCCACTGCTGAACATAGGAATCCAAGGGACGCCACAAAGCGCCGTCCCGAGCCACCTGCATCCATTGACTTCCTGCATGTTTACCAGGTCGTCACTCCATCTAGTGGGGGGACGCCCTACACTTCGCCTGCCGGTACGAGGCTGCCACTCGAGAACCTTTTTTGCCCATCGTTTGTCGGTTCTTTGAGGTATATGGCCGGCCCATTCCCACTTCAGCTTACTAATCCGTTAGTATGCTATGTAGGTTACCCTGGTTCTACTGCGGATATCCTCGTTTTTAAGTCTGTCATGCAGAAAAACGCCGCGCATTGCCCTTTCCATAGCTCGCTGAGCGACTTTGAGCTTCCTCATACGGCCAGCAGTGAAGGACCACGTCTCAGATCCGTAGGTCATCACTGGCAACATGCACTGGTTGAATAATCTAGTTTTGAGGTTCTGAGGTATATCTAACGAGAAGATATGTCGTAATCTCCCGAACGCTGCCCAGCCGAGATGAATCCGTCGATTGACCTCTCGGTCGAAGTTGGACTTACCTAGTCGGACTATTTGTCCCAAGTAAACATATTCGTAAACAACTACGAGATTAGTGCTCCCAACAACTACCGGCATAGGTGTGACATGGACGTTAAACATGATTTTTGTTTTGTCCATGTTCACCTTAAGACCTATCCGTTGGGAGACACTATTGAGGTCATTGAGTATAGTGCTTAGATCCTCCAGCGATTCTGCCATAAGGACTATATCGTCGGCAAATCGAAGGTGAGTGATGTACTCGCCATTGATGTTGATACCGTATCCTTTCCAGTCCAGTAGCTTGAAAACGTCTTCCAATGCAGCGGTGAAGAGTTTCGGGGATATTAAGTCACCCTGTCTTCCACTTCCTGCAGTTAGATAGGTTTCGTACTCTGGTTCTGTACTCGGAGAGCCATCGTAGCCCCACTGTACAAACACTTCAGCACTTCGATATGCCGATAGTCTACGTGGCACCGCTGGAGGGACTGCAGCACCGCCCAAATTTCGACGGAATTAAAGGCAACACTAAGTATACCTTAAATATATTGAACATTGTTCAATACATTGAACACATAAATATTAAAGTAAATATATATTTCTAGGTAATAGTTTGTAACATAAATGATAATATGTTACTCTGGTTCTACTGCTGATACCCCCATTTTTAAGTCGTATCACCCAGAGAAACCACGAGCATAGCCCTCTTCATAGCTCGCTGAGTAACTTTGAGCTTTCTCATATGGCCAGCAGTAAAGGACCACGCCTCAGATCGATAGCTCATCACTGGCAACACGCGCTGATTGTACAAATTAATTTTGAGGTTTTGAGGTATGTCTGACGAGAAGATGTGTCGTAACGTTTCCCAGCCAAGTTGAATCCGTCGATTGACCTCGCGATTTGTTCACTCGCTTAGGCCTCTCCTATGTAATAAAGAGACAAGAACTTTTTGAATTGAATCGCAGTCTTCAATACTACGAACTTTGCGAAATATTTATTTATTTTATTTATTTATTTATTCTTTATTGCACCAAAAGGCGAGCTTAATGCTATATGGCAGTCTCTACCAGCTAACCTTGGGTAGAACAGAGAGTGAGTTTGGGCAGTTAAGTTGTCATGATATAAACCAGTTCAAACATATACATTCAACACATACATAAAATATACACACATATATAAAATATATATAATATCTTCTCATCATCGGCGTAAAGTAAGTGATGTACTATTTGCTTGACATTCGAGGAGCTTTATACAGTAATCACTCAGATTGAATCAATTTTAAATAGTCGACCCTTACTTCCCATGAGTTTAGATACCTCCAGACTTTAGGTATTTAACACCAGGCCTTTTTCTGATAGGAGATCTCATAACAAGCTACCTACAGTTAGACTGTTTTGTGCAGATTTTTATCACAATTTCAAAATAGGCCAAAATAGAAATATGATGATGTAATATTTTTTTATAGGAGAAGGATGACAAACGAGCACACACTCCACCTGATGGTAAATGATTGCTGCGGCCCATAGACATCTACATCTATCCTCGATTACGAATCAAAATGCAGATGCGTTGTCACCCGTGAGGACTAAGATGGAATGCCTCGTTTCCAGTAAAAAGGGTCTCCGGTTCTCTACACTTATCATAAGAACTGGCTGATGGGACGGATTGTTAAGACATTCCCAGGGCCAAATGGTAAAGTAAGATTAATTGCTGTAAAGATGGGTCACAATAATAAAATTTATAATAGGCCATATACTAAAATATGTCCTCTTCCCTGTGTACAGTGAAAAAAAAATATAATAGAGATAATAATTCTTAAGTTTAAATTTTGATAATTTAATAATTGTTAATTTTGTTTGTATACCTTTGCCCCGCACACTTTGTTCAATAAAGTAAATATAGATTAGATAATATTGTATAGTCAGTAATATTTATTTATATATATTAAGGAAAATATAGCAATAAAACATTACATTATTCAGTGGCAACACTGAATTCTTGTTCTCTTTCTATTTTGAACTTGGCTATAGCAATAGGGTTGCCACCTTTGTTTTGAAGAAATACAGTTTATTTCGGAAAACACGTGCATATACAGGAAAAAAGTCTTTATGTATTTTTCCATACATATATTTGTTGTTGCTCTTCAGTTTTGCCGTCAATGATCTCTTCAAAATAATTATAGGAAAATTTTTTAAAATAATTATAGGAATCTGAGCAATTTGGATTCATATTAAAATAAATTAACAATTCATTTTTGATAACATTAACACGTGCTCTATTTCTTTGTTCTTTCCATTTAACATTCGTGACGGATAAAATTTATTATTTTTCTATAATATATAGTACAATTGACTGAAATATGGTACGATACTATATGTAGTACGGGTGGCAACCCTATACCCCAAGTACCCCCAAGAACATTGTAAAGTGTAATAAATTAATAAATCCAGTTTTACTGGTTCAAATGAATCTTAGTGTGTTTTATTTAACAAACGTTTTAGTTGAAAGCGGCTATAAGAGTGGTAAATCCAAAAGAACCTAAGTACATGCACCAAGAATCGAAGTTCAAGAGACAACTGTTCGTACGAAATGTGATGAGACTGAAAGCAATAATAATGTGGTTTATAGAAGTCGGGAAAATTCTACAGTAAGTATTTTCTTTTTGTCTACAAATAAGTTCTTTTTTCTGCTAACTATTTTATATTCTTTACATTCAGAATTTATTTTGACTTCACATTCAGAAGTTATTGTAATGAGCCCGGTTTTCGGAACTCCTACATTGCAAAATCGACGGAAAGGCGACAATCGATTGTTTTTTCTCTGCATAATACGTAATATTAGTATATACAAGTATTACAGAAGTACCAGAGTAAATCCTAACTTTGTGAGAGACTAGTGCCTGATGTAGGTTAAAAAAACTGTATTACATTCAACAAGGGCATCTACGACTTTCTGACACCAGGGCGGCGCCACTTAAAAATGAGATATAATATTTGACAGATATCATAGCGGGAAAGTTAATTTGTTCGGAAAATGTATTAATGTTTTTTTGTGTACTATTTGTTATATTTTATATTAATTAAATTAAAAATATATAAACCAAACCACATTTATTAATAAAAGTTGAAAAATTAAAAAATAGTTAAAAGCTTACGAAAGAGAAAGCCAATGAGGCATTTTGTGTATTAATATAATACTCTAGAAACTGATAAACTTTTGTATAAAAGTAACTTCTCAATTTAATGACATTGTATAACAAAAAAACTTCACCTCAGCGTCAACTAGCGACATCTGGTGAGCCGAAGATTATTAGCCCACATTATTGAAAAGTTTCAGCGGTTTTTATTCCACCTGCCAAGCGTGGCGATTATGGCAAGTCCTTCTTGCGGAAGAGGCATCCAGATTTGTGATGGATGATGATGAAGGTTATATTACAAACGACCATTTTACTTTCAGAGACTGCTTCGAATGGGAATCTAGATTACTGTCGTTTCTAGGTCTGTTAGCGTGGCTAGCATTCTGTTATTATTATCAAATGTGGATGCTGCCATTCTTACTCCTAGTGTTTTTTACAAGGAATTGGTTAATTTACAGGCTTACTGGTAAGTGTTACCATTTAAATCTTTCTCTTTACGTTTTCTTGAATTTTCTACCGACTTGAAAAAGGAGCCGGTACTCAATTCGACTGTATGTTTTTTTTGTGTGTTACCTCATTACTTTGTTCTATGTGAACCGATTTCGATGATTCTTCTTTTTTATTTGAAAGCTCGTACTTCACATGTGGTCCCATATATTTGATCAAGGTCTGACCAATAATTTTTGAATTATTCTTAATAATTTATATTGAAGTCGGTTGTACAACTATTTTAATTTTGAATTATACTTAATAAAATATTTTTACCATTTCCTTTTAATTATTTTGTGATCTTATTAATTTAAAATGTCTGTATTATATGATTTCATGGCCTTAGCCATATGCTGACGGTCTTGTTTGGTGGTAAAATTACAGAATGCATGTACACTCCCATTTCTTATCACGGTGTTTGTAATATTCAGCATTTTAAAAAAAAAACCAGCGTAAATATAAAACATGCGTAACATTCAGCGAATGCCGAGAACCCAGTTAAGCATTTCATGTTAGTCTTCTAGGTGACAACGCACCTGCATTTATTTTAAACAAAAATAAAGAAAGATGCTGTTGTTTATGAACCACAGCATCCACTTGAAGTAGATTGTGTGTTCGATTGTTACTTTCTATAGAAAAAAAATTGTTACAGGCGATTGATAGTTTCGTAAATCTAATACAGTTGATCACTAATACGCTTATCATGCAAGATGACGTTAATATGTTAATAGAAATTAAATTGAAATAAATAATATAGTGTACATGTTGTTCTTTTGTATTAATTTATTATTTTAAATTAAATTTGTCTTCTGCTATTTTTTAGTTCCGATAAAGTATTTCCGAAGTAATCCATGGAGATATATAGCAAATGTTTTTGGTAATAAGTTTTTTATGTGTCGTGTGCATCGATCACTAATAAAAAACTAGATACACAATCCCATGCAAAATATCTCTAAAAACTGTCGCCAATTGTTTTGACGCAATTCTAGTTGAAATAATACAATACAATACAAAATACAAACACTCACGCCTGTCACCCAGAGGGGTAGGCAGAGACTACGGACTTCCATTTGGCGCGATCCTGACACACCTCTCTCGTCTCCTTTACATTCACATATTTACGTATACACGCTCGTCGGTTAAAGGTACTCCTAATCTGGACCATTTTCAATGTATCGCCGATTCGGTCGATAAATCTTCGTCTAGAGCGTCCCTTCCCGACTTTGCCGTTCGCTTCTGAAACATAAATTTGCTTTGTCACTCTTTCTACGTGACCAAACCACCGAAGCATTCCTTTTTTAATCCTAATCACAACGTCTTCTTGCAAACCACACTTTTCTCTTATCGCACTATTTCTCACCCTATCATTCAGATTCAGCCCTAACATACTCCGTAATGACCGAATTTCTACAGCCTTTATTCTACTCTCATGCTTCTTCTGCCATACCCAACTTTCACTACCATACATTAAAGTAGGAACTAACACAGCATTATGAATTGCCATACGTGCCTTCTTTGACACATTCTGACTCTTCATAATAGCGTGTAGAGCCCCATTAACTCTATTTCCTGCGTTCACTTGTCGTTCTATATCCGTATCATATCTACCATCCCTGCTAAATAAACATCCCAAATATACAAACTCATCCACTTGCTCAATCAACTCCCCCTTCTATTCTTATTTCACATAACGTTTTACTTTCTTCTCTTTCAAAAACCATCACTTTCGTCTTACTTGCGTTCACTTTCATACCCCTTTCTTTTAAGGACCAGTTCATTAAATTAACCATCATTTGCAACTCAGCCGCCGACGATGCAAATATGTCTTGATCATCGGCGTAAAAAAGGCATTTGACGGTTAGCTCACCCATTCTCGACCCACATTCTTCAACTTTCAAAGTTAAACAGCCACGGAGAAGCTACACAGCCCTGTCTGACACCTTTTTGAATGCCAAACCAGTCCGAGTAGGCCCCGTTGATCCTGACACAAGCACTAGAGTCCCTATAAAGAGACCTCAATGCCTCTTTCAAGCCAGCGCTCAATCCAAATATTAAAATGTTCTGGAAGCTCGTAAGAACTGCCAGGGTAAATTCAAAACAGCCTAGAATGAATGCTATACGAGACAAGAATGGCTGCATGCTGAATGATGAAGTTTCGAATTTTAAGAGATTGAAGGAATACTTTGAAAGCGTGTTTAAGAGTGAAGAGTCGTCTGAAGTAAGTGAAATAGAAATTCCGGAAGGAGTGGAGAAAGGTAGGGAGATAAGTGTATATGAAATAATGAAAGCAATGAAAAGCATGAAAGCAGGTAAGGCAGCCGGATATTATAGAGTATCACTCGAAATGCTAAGGGCTGGAGAGGGTGTGGTTGCAGGCCTGCTGTACACCTTGTTTAATTTATGTTGGGAACTGAAGCGGGTACCGGAAGACTGGTGCAAAGCCGTTATAGTCCCAATATATAAGGGAAAGGGGTCGCAGCAGGACTGTAAAAACTACCGTGGTATCAGCTTGCTTAGCATTGTGGGTAAACTGTATGCTAAGGTGTTAATTGAAAGAGTTATGGAAGAAATTGATTGAAAAATTTGGGATGTGCAAGCTGGATTTAGAAAGGGGATGGGGTGTACGGATCAAGTCTTTTCCATGCGCATGATTACGGAGAAGTTTTTGGCCAAAAACCAGAGAGGTTTTTATGCGTTCATGGACTAGTTGAAATAAATATACATTAAAATTGTCAATTCAATCTTAAATGCATTGTCTAAAGTTGTATTCACAAAGCTATGTACAAATTAAAAGCGCACCCAAATATTCGAGTGGGTGCTCATTCGATAAGGACATTTTTTGTCAGTGATTGTGTATCTAGTTTTTTATTAGTGATCGATGGTCGTGTGTTAGTTTATTAACAGCATGTTATAATTAACGTGATTAACAACTTATTGTTTTGTCTGTTAACTACAACTAATTTAATGCATCAGCTGATATCAAGTTACGGACGTCCTCAAAATCTAGGCTAGGATAAAATCTCTATTAAATCTCTTATATTTACGTGAATACTACACATTGAATAAAACTATATTTACGGATTACTTATTTTAATTCCCGACGTTTCGAGTACTTTACAGCAAGCTTTGTTTGACGTCCCGATGTCATAGTTAACCCGTTAAACCTTCACTTTTTGAATATTAATTTTTGGTTCGATCTACGCAGAAACGTCAGAAATGAAAATGAGTAAATTAAACGCGATAAAATCCGTAAATACATTTTTATTCAATCTCTATTAAATGTTTATAGAAATAGAGTTATGCTTGGATGTTTAATGCTTGTTAAAATTGTATATCATTATTATTAATATTCCAGGAGGAAACCCACTATTAACACCAGTTGATGATGACGATCTCTTAGCGGAGGAGGACGACGATGATGACGTAGATAAGGTATTTATAATTTTCAATGTAATTTTTATTTTCTAAAGAACTATCTTGTACAACAAAAGAGAGAAACAATGAGTTAACATTTTTTGGTCGACAATAACTTAACTAAGCTTACCGTGTAGTGGCGGTGTAAGAATATCTACTATCCCGGTATCATCCCGTGGGTTGTCATAAGTGGTAACAGAGGGAAACAAAGCAGGAGATGAGCAGCAAAATCTTCCTAATAACGACTAAAAGAAACTGCAGTTACCAAGCATGGCAACTATGACAAATATCCTCCTCACTAGGCAATCTATGGGGGAGGCCTATGTTCAGCAGTGGACTTTAATAGGCTATAACGTTAACGGTACAACTTAAGCAGTCTAGCTAGCTATGTAAAGGGCTATATTTAGGGTTCTAGAAGAAATGGTAATAGAAAGAGTGTTCTCGAAGAACGGTCTCGTACAAGCAAGCACATTGTATAAAGACCTTAGACTAGGTTTATTAACGAGCTGGTAGATCCAGGTTAATCTACAGACAAAGTTGACTGCTGTCCTTAGATGCCGCGTTTCCTATTGATCTCGTATTGTTTAATAAGAATAAAGAGATATCCACCAGGTTGTCAGTGACTACAGCAGCGCTTTGATATCTACAACAAAAAAAAACTGAAATAAAAATCCAAAGTTTTTTAATTTATTTTTTTTATAAAAGTACTATTAAACGTTACTAATATTCCCTTTAACCACTGGTTGTGGTTAAACTAGTGGGTCACGACAGTAGTCTTTTTTTTATTTAATTTATTTATTTATTTACCATATTACAAAGCATTACAAAAAAAAAGAAAGCGGACCCTGGGTTCTCCCGCGCTGGGCGGGACGAGCAACCGGGATAAACACTAGGTAGAAGAAGAAGAAGAAGACAAAGCATTACAAAAAAAAACTATCCTAAAAAGTCGCATACAGAAAACCACTAACGTTGTGATGACGCGACCTGAGTCGACGTTATATTAAAGTATAATAAATTTAGTTTGTAAAAAGAAAACATTACAGCATAATTAGGACCCGAGCAAACGCATATACGCTGTTTTAAGTAGTAACATTTTTATATAAATTACCCAAAAAGTACATTTTAAGTTTTTTTAAACGTTTTTTATATTTAAGTTATCGCGAAATTCTGAGGGTATGTTGTTTATAAGTCGAATGGCGGATTCGAACCTACGACCTTTCGAATTCGCGGTTCGCGCCCTGCTATCAGACTACTGATGCATTTTTGCGTTTATTCTCTATTCCCTCACACTATGAAAGTGAGGGAATACAGAGTGCACCTGTACTTGCGCATACACTGGCGTTATAATCCTGTCTTGCATCTTGTGATGCAAGACAGGACCTTGGTGACCGAAATTCGACCGAAAATCTGGAGGACATTATGCACCACCAACTTTACTCTTTAGTAAACGTTATCTACTCATTTACTATCTATGTGCCTTCTATGTGCCAGTAAATGTTTGTAAGTCATTTCTGAGGTTGTGAAAATCGAAGGCCCGGGAAACGCTCTCAAAGAATATCAGTGTAAAATAGCAGCTTTGATGTGTTTCGTATGGTGAGTGTAGAGAAGAGGAGACCCTTTTTACAGACACGTGGCATTCCATCTTAGTCCTCAGGGGTAATAACGCATCTGCATTTTGATTCTTAATTGAGTATGAATGTATATGTCTATAGGCCACAATGTCCACTTACCATCAGTTGGTTTATCACCCTTATTTCATTAAATAAAAACCGCCCTTATAGATTGCCTCATAAGGTCGAGTTTGCTACAGATGTCACGGTTCGCAGGCGAATTGTCAACTGAAGCTTTTTTCCAGTTGTTACTAGGAAGACACTGCTGCCCATCTCCTAGTATTTTTCCTACTGTCTCCTCTTACGACACCCACGGGATGTTATAAAGTAGTGTATATTCCTACACCACCACAGCGTTAATTACTGTTGATAACAACATTATATATTGCGTTGTTATTAATTATGTTTTTATTTTTAACCGATTTTAAATAGGAGGAGTTTCACAATTCAAGTGTATTTTTTTCTGTACGTATGTTACACGATGTCTTCGCAGATTGTGGACAAATTTTGATGATTGTCTTTTTTTTTATTAAATAGATTATACTTTATGGGTGGTCCCATATAAATTTAGAGAAAAAATTCCACACCTAAGGATAGCAAATAAATAAACCTAGTAAGCTAACAGCATAGCAAAGTGGCGAAGCAATCAGCTTTGTAGCGGTTTCTAACGGTTGCCGTTGAGCAATTAGTTTCAAAATAGGAGGTTCAGATGCCTGGGTGATCAGTAATCGATTACTGAAAACAGAATTTGAAAATTCGAAACCGTTCTCGAGATAATCGTGGGACAGACGGACAGACGGACAGACGGACAGACATCGTGAAATCAATAAGTGACTTCGCAAGCTTCGCCACTTAATAACTTTTTTAGCATGTTGAAGTCGGTTTTAGCTTTTTGTTAAAAGTTGTAATTATGTTGGTAAATGATTGCAGGAAGAAAAGAAATCACTGAAAGAGAGATTACAGGCAATACAAGAAGTAACGCAGACAGTCCAGAACGCCATTGGTTATGTAGCGTCGGTGGGAGAGGCCGTTAAAAAGTATGTATGATTTTAGATATAGGTATAAAATTAATAAAAAAAAATGAATTTATTTCAGACTTTTGGTCCATAAGAGGATTAGTACAAAATATGAACTTCCAAATTATGTTAGTAAAACAGAATAAAAATAACTACACTATGACATTATTTTAAATATTTTCCGGACCAGTATGTGACACCAGTTATACACGTATGTGTGATACCCAGTGCCTCCTTCAGAATAGTGTTGGAACTCCCTCGCACTCTGCGCATAAGATACGAGATTCGTTGGCGTATTACAGCGTGAAAACCGTCAGTACGTGCTAGCACAAACATCATTGACGCACTGTAAAATCTCGAGTGTCCCAACATCACTCTGAAGGCATTATTATATTGGCCTCTAGCTTTTGTAAGGCAGTGCTTAAATTTTACCGCACCTGCTTTAAGTACCATGAACTTACTGCATGTTGAAGTGAAATCTCTTTACTTAAATGACAGAGGTTATTTGATCAAATAGGCGATATATTGAAGGCGGGCCAAAATAGGTCAGGGAAAAAGTTTGCCAATTTTGGTGGTATGGTTATCAAAAAAAAATGGATGAGGAAAGAGTGACAAATCAAAGAGATGAATGGCAGAGTCGGTAAGGGATGTCCTAGATGGGGGTTTATTAACCAAATTGGCAACATATTAAACATTTTTTTTTTAAAAAACGTTACCCCCACACTAGGATTTTCTCCTGTATCGTGGAGGCAGTTTACAAACACAAATTTCACAAGAACAAACATCCAGACCCGGAACAATCATTTGTAGGCCATACAAATACTTGTTCCGTGCGGGATTCGAACCCGCGCCCCCCAGCGCAGCAACTCATTGCTAAGCCACTGCGCCACGGAGCCGTCAAATTAAAACATTGGTCAAATTAAACGTACTGTAGGGACACAGTAGTTGCATACATTTTGCTGATTTGACATTTTACACTTATGTCCGGAGGCGATCAGCGACGAAGGCCAGTCGTTCCTCGTTCCCTGTCACTGATCACGCTAGGCCATTGCCAACTAGAAAATATAATTAACGTGTAAAATTGTGATTTAGTAATACAGATATCAGTGACTTTAAGATCAGGTGCAATAAATAAATTGCACCCGATAGGGGCCTTCAGCACCTTCTATGAGTCATATGACGATGGTATCAGGCATAAGTAAACGATACATAACTAGCCAATAACACGCACATACCTCACACCCCAACATCGTACAGTACCATTAACCGATGATCATGTATGCATAGGTATTTGATTGTGAAGAAAGGGAGAGGTGTGTCTATGGGACGAACGAGAGTGTTAAAATTTGTAATGTGCATGTCTTATGATTTACTTTTGTCTCTTTCATTTATTTTAATAATCTATTCTTTTACTTTCCAGCCTTATGAACTTCACAGTGCCATATCTTAGTTATTTAGCAATAATAATGTTATTTGGAGCAATGTTAGTTTTGTACGTGATACCGTTACGATATCTCCTTATGGCGTGGGGTAAGTACTGACGCTCGTCTTCTCTATAAATAAAAAATGGCCAAGTCAAAGACGTATTAAAAAAGACCCCTTCTAAAACCCCTCTGAATAAGCTTCAAATGGTTGTGTTAGGACAGGTTTACAACAATAGTCGAATGGTGAATTCGAATCCATAACTTTCCGAAATCATAAAGTGTATACGTGGTAGAACCATGCTGAAGCTATATCAATAGCATAGTTGTAGCACGAATGGGTCGGTTCGACCGGAGGGACGACGCTCTCACAGAATACCAGCGTAAAATAGCAGCAATGCTGCTGTGTTTTTTATGTTGAGTGCAGAGAACCGGAGACACTTTTTACTGGAGACGAGGCATTCCATCTTAGTCCTCACGGGTGACAACGCATCTGCATTTTGATTCTTTATTGAGGATAGATGTAAATGTATATGGGTCACAGCAACCACTTGGCATCAGGTGAACTGTGTGCTCGTTTGTCACCCTATCCTATAAAAAAAACCACAGGATTATGGGGTAATAGATTCTTATACGCCGCCACTTCACGGCACTATGCTCCCATTTTATTTTTGGGTTACTTATATATTTATCAAATTTCCAGGTGTTAACAAATTCACAAGAAAAATACTTCGACCACACACGATACCCAATAATGAAGTTCTAGATTTACTGTCTAGGGTACCGGATGACGAAATATTGGTAAGTCTAAAAAAAATTTGAATACCACATACTAAAGTATGAAACGAAAGATTAAATTAAAAAGACACCGTCGACTCCGTAGAGCATTGAGTTATATGTACTATGTACTAGAGAAGCCATTCCGAACATTGCATTGAACTGTAGTGCAATCCATACAAACTAAATATTGCGTAAATTGAAGATTTGTGAATTCCATAAAATAATTATTATTACATTTTATTTAGAAATATGTTTGTTTAGATTAAATTAAGATATTTTATATTAAATTCTTATATTTATATTATATTAATATCTTATTTTATATTAAATTAAAGTCTTCGCGCATACGCGACTACTACTGCCGCGCATGCGCGAAGACATAGAGTAGGACACAATTTTTGTTTGGAATGGCTTCTCTAGTACGTAGTACATATAACTCAATGCCGTAGGGTCAGTAATTTCTCCATCAATGTATAAGCTTGTAAAACAAAGTCCCAGCAAATATGCAGCGAGAATTGTTTATAAAGGGTTATCATACTACAAAACAGTAGGTACATGTTGATTGATAATAACCGTTGGAAATGAGGTGATCGCTACCATGCTGTTTCTAAATGTTTTCATACTAAATTGAATGAAATATTATATTGTAAATTATTTTTTTAAATGTCCCACTGGTTTTCTTGCTGGTTCTTTGGTTCTTCCCAGTACATAAGTTTTTTTTCCGAACTAATTGTAAAGCTTAAATGACTTTCAATAAGTATTCTTACACTCTATATTGAATAAAAATTATTCTATTCTATACACAAATGATAAATTTATAACTGTATTTCAGCTGGACTGTAGAGAGCTTAAAACTCATGCGCCGAACGATACTCGAAGAGACGCTAGAAAAAAACACAAGGCGGCGTAGCACAAAGGCACAAATAAGCAACAATAAATAAGCAGAACAAACGCTCGTTAATATTTATATGTCTTTGCAGAACAATTACTATCATCACCACGTACTATCTAAAGTATTGCATGAAAATAAAAACAAGACACGATTTATCACTGTGCAATGTAAAACCTAAATATTTGATTGTGTTATGCCCAAATACTTAAACGCTATTAAGGCCCCCCGCGCACTAGGCAGCCTGTCGAATATATAACGGTGTATGGGAGCTCGCGCACCTAAGCAGCCACGAACTCCTGGCTGCGGCAGCTATAAAAGCGCGCCTGATTGCACGGCAGCCCGTTAGCTGCGCGCAGCCAGATCAAGTAGGCGAATGTATGTGGCTGCCGTCAGTCAACGCGCACTTGTCGTAGCAGCCAGACGTATTTTTTGTTCCGAAACCACAAAATAACGAAGAAAGGGTCACAACTGGCCGTCTATTGGCTGCTTAGAAGTGGCTGCTCAAATATTTCGGCCGCCGCAGCCTGGCTGCGCAGCCAGGCTGCCTAGTGCACGGCAGGCCTAAGTTTTAAGATGCCGTTTTAAGTCTCGTGCTGTCTCTATCACTTTTCATTAAAGTGACTGTGACACCACGAGACTTAACGACATCTTAAAATTGACTTATGTTTGAGTATTTGGCCATTAGTGATTTAATTATTTTTTATGGGTATAACTTAATTAAATTACAAACAAAACCTAATCCCAGACTTAACTTCATAAATTTTTTGTCGCGGTAATTTTACTTTCATGTCTTTTTTTTTCTTTTTAACAAGGAACATCGTGTTATGGTTAACACCAATGGGTTGACAAGACCGGGAAAGTAACACGCTCGAATAAAATACCAGTGTAAAATAACAGCACATTGATTGTTTGTTTCGTATGGTGACGAGAAACGAAGAAACTTTACTGGTAACGATGTATTCAATTTTAGTACTTAGAGGTGATAACGCATGTACATTTTGATTTCTAATCAAAAATATATTATAGATGTATATGGCATTGTATACACTTATATCAGATGGACTGTGCGCCGGTTTGTCACCTTGAATTTTATTAAAAATGTTAAAGTTATACCCATAAGGATAAAATATTAAAGACTTTGTAAACTGTGGTTTTATTTATACTAAGATAATTTCACTATAAGTTCCAGCCACAAATGTTACAATGGAAACGTATGAAGCACCCAATGTCCTACAATTTTGTTTGTCATACGCGATATACACACATGCACAGGGGGCCAATTACCGAACCTTGATTTGTTTGCGTGTGTAAAATTGTAGAACCTAGGGTGTCTCAATAGTTTTCAGTGTAATATTACGACCGCATTTTTTTTTCGTTTGTCGTTCCAGCATGGCAAGAAAACGGCACAGATGGTAACGATCAAAACAGTCTATAGACTAATTATCATAGAATAGACGTCATTTTGTACCTCATTATCTTTGTAATTGAGCATGTTATTTAGATAAACTGAACTAAATCGTCCATGTATAAAAACCATTATAGTCTGAGAGCTGGCGACGAATTTTGGGAAGGTTCTTTTGGCAAGTTGAAATTGTGAAAAAATCACCGCAAACGCTCTGCCAGACTCGCGGTGCTGGATTCGCCAATGGACGAAATTATATTTTTTCACAATTTGAACTTACCAAAAGGAGCTTCCCGAAATTCGTCGCCAGCTCTCAGACTATTAATAGATAAGAGAATACTATTAAATAAAAAAATGTTAAAATTGTTTAATAATGTGCTCTACAAATCTATTTAAACGCAATGTTTATCGTTTTATGACATTGTTTGTAGTACGATATGGTATTTGACTTAAGTAGTTTTATTTGAAAAAATTACAAAATTGAATTTATGAAAGTTCGAACTTATTCTTTTTTTTATAGTTGTTATGTTTTATATTATTATATATTATTATTAATATACAGTATACTAAGTAAAAATAAACCACAAGTGAAATATCATATCGATTTAAAAACGACGTCATTTATAAAAAAAAATGAATTTAATCATCAATTATCTTTAATAATTATCACCTACATTTTTTCTAAATTTTTCACGTTTTTAATAATATAAATAAATAGAAAACATACTTAGCTTACTAAAATTATTATGTTTTTAATGTAAATACTAATGTGTAGCCAAACTATGTTCATTTTATTCTACTGTGATCCTTGAATGATCTGTTAAATATACTTACAAGTAATATGTCGCTTTAACAAGTTAACAAGACTCAAATGCCTTAATAACACTTGGCTATTGTAAATTGATTCTCTTACATTTCTTTTATTAGAACATAACTCGTTGCGAGCACAGTGAATGATTTTATGTGCGTTGCGGCTTTACCTTATATTTTATATAACCCATATTTTTTTATAAACAAGCCAGCATTTTATTAAATATTTCTTTTTTTCAATCATCTAAGTAATAAAATAAAAACAAGAGAAAGAGAATGATGAGGTCATGCCAGAAGAATCAATATATAAACCTAAATAAAAGCACCAAAGGTATTGAAAGTTTTTGATGCTACAGAGAAATAAAAACCATAAGAAAAGTTTCGTGTAATTAAGGCGAATGAGTTTTTCTATGTTTACCACCGCCTTATCAATTATGACACCAATAATTTATATATAGGTTAACATGCCAATGAGTTAATAATCGTTAGGAAAAGTTACTTCCAATAATTTTTATTGTATTATTTCGGTAAGATAATATATATTTTTAGTTAGTAATTGCTAGATGTTACCTTAAATAATTACATTTGATAAAGAAGCTTACAAGCGATATAATAAAATGTTATAAGCACAAGAAATTTATTATATTAAATAAGTTGCATTTATTTCCAAAATAATTGTAGTTAGAATTTGTGAAATTTTTGACGAACATTGTTGTACTGTTGCTTTATGTAAGTAAAAGTTTATAATATTAACACATTTATTTGAAATTCAACCCTAAAATAATTATAGTATAAGACTGAAATTAAAATTCGACCAAATTCAATCGATCATTTCGATGTGCATTTTAAATCTAAATCACGCAAAGTAGAATTGAGTTTTACACTTTATTTTACAATTTCAAATGTATTTGTGTTGTATTTTTTCTAATACTTAATAAGATAACATTTCGTCGATAAAAAAAAAAACACAAAATTACATCGGTTTTCGTCTTTTTCTGTTTTCAATGGGGTGCGAATCTTTGGGACAAAAATTAGTTAAACACAATCAATTACTACTGATTATGTGCTATCTCTAAATATTTTTAATTTACCATAATTTACGAGATACTCGTTCGTAATTATTTTCGCGCATACATTTTTACTACTAAAGACACGATCGTCCATCTTCGGGCTCTAATATGCATGTAGCATGCATTTGTTTCGCCCTGTTTGGCGATAACTCACTATCAATGACAGGGGTTTTGTACACGCTCTAAAGGGGTTCTAAAATCATAAAATCAGGTGTAGTAGGTGCTTGACCTAAGAAGCAAGCAAACATTGTTAATGATCAAACGACTTGGTCACGCATTGCTCTAGTCATGCATCCCAAAAAACGACTTAAGCTTGCTTGTGCAGGTAGTTTGAGCGAGCAAAGCAAAACTACTCGTTTATTATAGACACCAGACACTATTTTGGCTTATTTTTGACCCTAATGTGTGTTGCGTCCCCTTTGCTTGACTACTTCCGTTAGATCATATTGATATGCCTATAATACTTTCGTATATTAAAATATGTAGTTTTGCAAAAGTTGCATCAATTTAAAGCAAAATAAGAAATAAAGCGAATACTATTAATATATACTGATAAACTAAAATATTGCGTAAATTAAAGATTTGTGAATTCTATTTGCAACTTCTTTTTCTTGAAGTTTGAATTGAAACTTGAAAAATCTTTTTTTGATGTCTTCATTTTAATGCAACAAATAAAATTCTATAAAAAAAAAACTCTTAAAAATTACTAAAATTTGGGGGTAAACAGAAGGCTGCGATTTTGTTTCAAAAGGTTTTGTTTTGAGCCCCACCTATATATATACATATATATTATCTTAATAATTACCAATGAAGCTAGCTTTAATTTTGCTGAGTTTAGAGTTATAACATTTAGCTGGAAAAAACGTAACGATACAAAAATATTTGTAATCTTTGTTGTTTTCCATCTTTACTCTAAGGTTTCCAGTTTCCATTATAATAATAACTATATTGAGTAAAGTAACTATTTTGTAATTCTAGAATATTGTTTGTTTACTGTTTAAATAATAAAACATAGTAAAGTTAATTAAATAGAAGTTTTAAATTAATCAAAACAGAACTATAACAACGTCATTTTAAAATCTGTTGCTGCGCAAGTATTACTCCACCACAACAACATGGCACTATAGTAATCTATAGTCTATACCTTTTTTTTAATAAATATAATATAATAAAATAATATTTCTTTCATGGTAAGATAAGAAAAGGTGCGAGGGACATGGAATATAATAAGACATATTCTATCTCGCTCGTACTAGAGAAAGGGGATCGGAACAGAAAAATCTTACACTTTTCCCACCTAGCTCCCATCCGTCAAATTCGTACCGTACGATAAGGAACTTCGTTCCAAAACATTGAGTTAGTTATAAGTACTAATATCGATGTTAAAAAAGATGAAGACCGCTTTTCCATTTCATAAAATTAGCTATAATTAAACAAATAACTCTACTATTTAAAATTTAAGCCAATTCAAAGAATTTACCGTAATAAAGATACTCAAATGTACGTATTTGTAACTAATTTCTTAAAATTATTGACTTTTTTAAGACTAATAGCTTCTCTTAAGATGTTGGAACAGAAATTAATCTTTAATAATTGGATCTTAGATTAAGTTAAATAAAATAGCACTTTCCATGAATTGTTTTAATAATTTTTTTATTTGAAATAATTGTTTTAAAACATGTCAGGAAAATCGACGAATCGTTAACAATGACAATATTTTTTTAACAGTAAATTGG